GTTATCACTGGATTCAGTTTATGTGTGTAAATTTTGCCATATTTTCAGTCTATGTGTTGCCATAGCAACCAGAATTTTCAACATAGGAAGAAAAGAAAAAGACGTGCATAATCTTCAAGACTGCCATCTACCCATATGTCAAGTTTCATAAAAATATTTTTCCAGTACTTTTTGCTTTATCACTGGATCCAGTTTATGTGTAAAATTTGCCATAGTTTTTCAGCCTATTTGTTGTCATAGCAACCAGAATTTTCAACATAGGAAGAAAAGAAAAAGACGTGCATAATTCCAAGACTGCCTATCTACCCATATGTCAAAGTTTCATAAAAATATTTCCAGTACTTTTTGCTTTATCACTGGATCCAGTTTATGTGTAAAATTTGCCATATTTTCAGCCTATTTGTTTGCCATAGCAACCAGAATTTTCAACATAGGAAGAAAAGAAAAAGACATGCATAAAATTCAAGACTGCATCTACCCATATGTCAAGTTTCATAAAAAAGATATTTCCAGTACTTTTTGCGTTATCACTGGATCCAGTTAATGTGTAAAATTGCCATATTTTTAGCCTATTTGTTGCCAATAGCAACCAGAATTTTCAACATAGGAAGAAAAGAAAAAGACGTGCATAATCTCCATACTGCCATCTATCCATATATCCAAGTTTCATAAAAATATTTTCAGTACTTTTAAGTTATCGCGGGGATCCAGTTTTGTGGACGGCACGGACCCTGACGGCCCGGACAGACAGACGGGGACGGACGGACAGGCGGACGAGGGTAAACCTAAAGTCCCCTCCGGTAAACGGTAAAGGTGGACTAATTAAGTTGTCATCTTAATTTATTCTCAATTCATTTGCTCTTTCATAAAAAAAAATTATGTTCTTGCAATATACACTCAAATATTAAATTAATATTTTACAATGTCATTTATAACAGAATTAAAAAATTTCTTCACCTGTGGGACTTTCTAAAATCAAAGGTTCACTTTCATTTTCTCCTCATATTGTCAAAATTGAACATGCTGTTTTACTCTCTTCAAGGACTTTGTTTGTTTGGGCTATTGTCCATGGGCTTCAAGGATCTAGTCCAGAGCGTATCGGAGAACTGGATTTGACAAACGGAAGTTTCATTTGTAGGTATTTCCTGCTCAAATGTTGCTGTAGATGCGCATTTTCAGAAAACTCCAACTAAAACATGTTTTGATTTTCTTTCATTTTTAATTATGCTTTTACCTTTACCTACAAACATGTCACACTCATCTAGAAATTGTCCATTATCACTGTCTAAAAGTCATTTCTTTCAAATGCTTGTACATTCTTCCCAACACAGCTTTCTGGCTTTTTACGATAACAATGAGAGGAAGCTTTAAACAATTGCTTTTGGGCTTTTTTGTCATGTATGATATGAAACAAGTGGTTTCTTTGGATTGAAAAAGCTTCAAATAACCCTTTTTTTCAAGTATGCTAAGTAAACCAACATAGAAATGTAAAATCAGTAAAGTTTTTTTGTTCTTGATACAGGACTCATTCAACAATCAATTTTTTTCTTTTATTCCATCTTCTAGTCTCTTTTTTTTATCCCATGGTGGCAGGATTGTGATAATTCTTTTTCTAGGCATTCTCATTTACATTAATTTTTTCTTCTCTTAAAGATTTTCTTCTAGAACAGGTTTATAGTCTTCATTGTCTTTCACAAAGCATAATAAAACACAACATAAGCATCCCACATCTGAAGAGTTGAAAGTGATAAATCATAACATGACAGCCATCTCATGGCTTATGAACTTCTCAGGCACAGAGAAACGCATTCCCAGCAACTGACATATCTCTTCAAGGTATTGACGTAAAGTCAACCGACCATTTGTGGTCTGTATGTATTTGTCCAAATAAACCTTCAACCAGTACATGAAAGGTGAAACAAAATTTTTTTGTTGCATTGTGTAGATGGTGACAGACATCACCGTCGATGTCCAACATGTGAGGAGCCTTTTCTTCTCGTATCCTTTTTTCCAGACCATTTTTGGAACCTTTCATGACTGCACAAGAATCCATCAATATGGAACAAGATTTTTCCAGGGTATATCATTTTCTTCAAAAATATTGTTCTAATGCTAGATAAATTGAGTTTGTGTCAACTTTTACAACCTCAACTGCTGCTAAATGTTCACAAAACAACTTTTGCTTAGACGGGGAGAAATAATTGACCAACACTGCCAAAATATGTTTGTTGTTGTTGCTGGTTGATTCATCTATATTGAGAGAGAATGGTGAATGTCTTATTTCATTTATCGTTGTCTCATGAATTGTTTTCTTTAAGCCATATGTTAACTTGTAAGAGGCAGAAGTACGATCCATAGACAATCCATCTACAGCTTTTTTGTCTTTAGAAAGTTCCTTGGTGAGTTTAATTATCTCTGGAACCATTGTCAATGATAATGAATGCTCTGCAACAAATCCCAATACCATGGCCTGAAAAAAAATTTTTTCAGCTAGTAATTCATTACATATAGGTCTTGACCATTTCGAATACCTAGCTAAACACCTTTTTCCAGTACATTACAGATTTAGCTCTGGGGAATTACAGCAGATGAAGTTCATAACAAAATCAAATGATATTTCTATTTTTCTATTATCATTTTAACATTTCAGGTGAAAATAATTAATGTGTTTGAAAATTATCAAAATTCCTTTAATATCTATTGATGTTTCAAAAACTGAATTATTAATAATGCAAATCAATAAAATTAAAACAGTGTCAGCGGCATTGTCCATAATGTTTTCTCTGTAAAGTTGTGCAGCAGTGAAGCATGTTTAGAAAGTATATGCTAAATGTTTGCGGGGTGTACAAATCCCAGCATAAGACTTTATAATCCTTTATGTAAAAAAAAAACATGCATGACTGCCGAGATGAAGTTTTCACAAGCAAAAATTTTAACAACCTTTAAGTTAATTAAGTATTTTTCATTAAAAAAAAACCAACCTCTGCATTGTGAATTCTATCATCTAGTGGTTCAAGAGGCTTTAGCCCAACCTGCTGCTTTGGCAACTCGCCAGTCTTTTTATTTCTAAACATGGGATGGATGCCATAGGCCTTGGTTGTTGCCTTCTCCCCATGACAGCCAGCAGGAAGAGTTGGTTGCTTTGATAAAGATTTCACACGTTCAGTATGATTCTTGCTTTTACAATGTCCTGTTAGCGCAATTTTTCCCCTTTTCCCTTAACCCAGGGGACATTTGCAAATTAAGCATTTAGCAAGTATCTGGAAACTGGAGATGGTGCAGCGCCGAGCAGCAAGAATGGTCTTCTCAGACTACAGAAGAACCAGCAGTGTGACATCGATGCTGCAACACCTACAGTGGCCTACCCTCCGAGAACGCAGAGCCCATGCCAAGGTGACCATGATGTACCGTATAGTAAATGGCCTAGTAGAAGTCCCTACATCCAACCTCACCCCAGTCATCTCTGTTCGAGGACATGGACTTCACTACCTGGTACCATTTGCAAGGACCCAGTGCTACCAGCGATCCTTCTTCCCAGACACCATCCGCCTCTGGAACAGTCTTCCCCAGACAGTTGTAAGCTGTACAACCATAGACAGCTTCAAGAGGGAAGTACTCCTACTCACTCTCCGATAGACAGTCCGGTGTTTTTACCCTTTTTACCAGCACTATACATAGTACTTTTTTAAATCACTCTTGTACATAGACACTTCTCACACCGCGCTGCGCTAGTACGAGTATACGCCGGAAGGTGTCTGTACTATATTGGAAGAAGAAAAAGAAGAAGAAGAAGTCCTCGTTCGTCAATTTTACGGATCCATTCCGAGAGATAGAATGACTTCAAACTGCTTCCGATATAGATTTCTATCTTCTCCTCCATCCATTGCCATCTCCAAACGTTATCTAACCCTGCGTCTAACTTCTTTATAAATTCTGAATCTTTCGCACGATCTAAAATTCTTTCCATTTGTAAACATTTGACAATTGTTTGTTATCTTCTTTTTTTTTCTTCTTTTTTTTTTTTTAGCAATATCAATTTTGCGTGCGCCACTCTGATTGGAGTACTCTGACTTATACAACCAATCACATTTCAACTTTCAAAACTGAACCGGTGATCATATAAAAAACACCTCGGAATTGATTTCCCCGTGTATTGTTTATAATGCGACGCAGAAAAATTTTTAAGTACCGATTTTTGGTGACTTTTTCTGTAATCTCCGCGGATTTTTTCTTTGGAAATTTTCGGCGCGGAAATCCGCGTAAGCGCGGAAAAATCACATCCCTGTTAACCTTTGACCCAGTGACTTCAAAATCAATAGGGGTCATCTACTAATTGTGTCTAACCTTCATGCCAAATATGAAAACTGTGAATCAAAGGAATTCTAAGTTATTCGGAGGAAAAGCTTTTTTAAGTGAAGGCCCCTGGTCAAAGAATGTGAGTCAAAGGAATCTTATACGGCGGACAAGCTTTTTTCAGTGAAGGCCTTGTGACCTTGACCTTTGAACTAGGGATCTCAAAATCAATTGGGGTCATCTACTTATCATGACTAACCTGCATGCCAAATAAGAAGACTGTGGGTCAAAGGAATCTTAAGTTATTGGACAGACAAGAAAAAACCGGCGGATAGCCGGATGTCCAGCCGAAATCGAATAAGGGGCCATTTCTTTTGTTATTTTCTTTTGTTTAAAAGAGGGGCAATGGCCTCTTACATTGCCCCTTACTCTATTGTTACAGAATGTCTATTGTTCTCTTTTGTTCTGATTACAGTTAGATGGCCCCTCTATCCCTATTCGGTAGTGTGGACAGCCGAACGGACAAGCTGATTCCAGTATACCCCCCTTAAAACTTTGTTGTGCGGGGGTATAAATAGTAGTAGTATTGTACATCTGATATTTTAGGTAATGAGTACATACTTCAAATGCCAAGAAATGGTCTACAGACTGTAGCACAATACAGATGCTATTGTTCAGTGTTGGATATCTAAATTAATAAAACTCACTTTTATAGAGATTATCAAGTGCATTGTGTACATCTGGACTATCTGTTGCATCTATAAAAAATCTGCAAATGATCTCTTCCCCATTTCGTTTTACAGGCTCCTCACTTACAACTTTGGCCATCATTTGTACATAATCTGCTCTTAAAATCACCTTGAAACACCAAGAATACTCTGAAAAATTAAAATAAATTTATCTGAGCCTGGAATTATTATTTATGACATGGCAAACCTGATATAGTTACTATAGAAGAATGTTTTAAAAGTAATATAAGAGAACTCTTGTCTTGGCATGAAATACTGGACAAGAATATAAACAAGAGGACCATGATGGCCCTGAAATCTCTCACCTGTATATAGGCCCCTAGGCCAATGCCAATTTTAAACCAAGGGCTTTTATTTGAACAAACTTGGTAGACAGCCATTAGAAGATGCTTCATGATAAATATCTAAGCTTTAACTCTTTGGGGTTTTTATAAGATTTTTATTTGAAAAAAACTTGGTAGACACTCACTAGAAGATATTTCATGCTTAGTACCTAAATTGAAAATTCTAGCTCTTTGGGTTTTTTATAAGGAGATATTTTTCACATATAAGGAAAATCAATAACCCCTGAGGTGGAGCCAATTTCAACCCAAGGGCCCTTATTTGAACAAACTTGATAGACACCCATTCGAAGTTGTTTCTAGCTCTTTTGGGGTTTTAAAAGAAGATTTTGAAGTTTCACTATATACATATAGGGAAAAACAATGACCCCCTGGGGCGGGCCAATTTTTACCCCAGGGCTTTTATTTGTACAAATTTCGTAGACACCCACTAGAAGATGTTTCATGCTTTATATTTAAGCTCTGGCTATTTTGGTTTTTTAAAAGAAGATTTTTAAGTTTTTACTATATATACAAATAAGGAAAATTAATGACCCCCTGGGGCGGGGCCAATTTTGACCCCAGGGCTTTTCTTTGAACAAACTTGGTAGACACCCATTAGAAGATGTTCCATGCTTAATATCTAAGCTCTAGCTATTTTGGGTTTTTAAAAGAAGATTTTTTAAGTTTTTACTATCTACAAATAAGGAAAATAAATGACCCTCCCCCCCCCAGGGGCGGGGCCAATTTTGACCCCAGTGCATTTATTTGAACAAACTTGGTAGACACTGACTAGGTGCTGTTTCATGCCAAATATTTAAGCTCTAGCTCTTATGGTTTTCTTAAAGAAGATATTTTAAGTTCTTTCTTTCGGTTGCCATGGCAACCAGAGTTCTGCTTGGAATTAAATCCTTTGAACAATTTTTAAAGTTGACTACCAAAGGAACATACCTGTGTGAAGTTTGGATGAAATTGGCTAAGTAATTTATGAGGAGATGTTATTTAAAGTAAAAGTTTACGGACGGATGCCAGATAAAAAAGCGATCACAAAAGCTCACCATGTCACTTTGTGACACGTGAGCTAAAAAGAAAAAAAATAATGTTATGTGAGGAATCATAGAAGTAAAATATTGATATGCACCTTTTGGTATCTGCCCTATCTTTAAACCACTTGTTTCTCTAATAGCTGCTACAGGAAATGTTGCTGTGCCAAGATACCTCTCCTTATCAATTTCCAGCTTCAACTTTTCCCCTTTTTTTAATCCTTCACACTGACTCTTCTTGTACTGATGGTAGCCCCTCAAAGGCAATCCAGATATCCTCACACTCAACATTTTTGAATGACTACTTGTTTACCCTGAATAAAGGAAAAATAACCATATTTAGAATGCAAAAAAAAAATAATCAGTAATTTTTTTCATCTGTTTTCAGATTTCCAAGACTACAATATCTAAAAATTGTCTACCAACCCTGTACTACAGTCTATTGTTATTTTACATTTATCTATCTATTTTCCATTAATGTCAAACCCCTTGCAGGGACGTAGACATTTAAAATTGTTATTTTAAGAAACAACATGCTTTGGAAACTCATTTGAAATTAAACTAATTGAACATATCTTGGAACTTAAGGTACTGCATTAAATTTGCCTGGATAACTAACCAGTAATAACCAATTTCTCTGCATGTTAAACACAATAAAATCTCACATGTCTTAGTGGTCAAAGACAAATGACAATGGCATTAGACTCAACATTTGACGTCAATTGAGAAATTTAACCTCCCCAGGATCAAACCAGCATCCCCTATAAAGATTTATTCTTGATTGTATAATGTTTGCTAAGCTGGCAATTTCAAATGAAGCACCTCAATTTTTTATATTTTGATAAATTGTAATCCCTTTAACTTTGAATGAAATGTTCTAAATTTAAAGCAAGGCACTCTAAAATATTAATTGAGTAGAGTACTCAGTAAGGGTTATATGATTGTACCTTAGTTGTGAAGGCAGAGATAGGCCGAGAATTTGAAAGTACTGGGCCCTGGGCCAACTTGGTCTGAAAATGATGGGCCATTTTGACCAAAGTATGGGCCTTGGGAAAATAAGTAAACATTGACCTAAATGACGTTTAAAAGTTTGTAGATAATTGAATTTTCTTTGTTAACAGAGACCATAACCAATAATTAACAAAAATGCCTAGACAGTAACTTTCTAACTAATATTAATTGCAGGCAAAACGTTTTTTCAAATGGCTGCTCAAAAATCTGATTTACATAATTTATCCACATAATTTCTAAGTATAGGTAAGAGTGCATATTGGGTGTTCTTCGTAAATAAGAAAGCTAAAAAAGAGCGGAGCTTGCGAAGCGACTGTAGCTTTCTTATTTACGAAGAACATCCAATATGCACTTTAACCAGCTTAGTGCTCCGCCCAATTTTTTCCCGCCCAACACACTGCGTGACGTCATGCGATAGCCTAAATGTGTATAACCATATTTGGAGGACGGTAGCGGTACACATTTTCGGATCATTGAGTGAAATACATAGATTCTGAACGAGATTTATACTCAGATTGTAGCGTTATCTGATGAGTGAATCTAAATTATACTGGCAATATATCATTACTTTGATACAGCGACTTTAAAACATGCCGACAGATTATTATAACTTATAATTTTTGTTTAATTGCTTACTTACGAACACTTTCGTATTTAGTGTTTAAAATCATTTTTTTATATAAACAATTTAATTCTCTGATAAATAGAAAAAGATTTACCAAAGCAAATGTGTTACGATTCATTTGGCTTACTGCAATCTTATTGAACAAAATTAATTTCAAACACTAACCAACTTTTCAAGAAAAACATTTTTTTATACTTTATAATTTAAATTGCACATATGGTGAAGTATATGTGAAATATATCCATAAAACTTTTTATTTGGAATTATAAATTGATACTGGTTTCGTAAGTAATAATTAAAACATTTTTACTGTTATTTTGCCTGTTTTCATTTCAATGAACCTCTTCCTTTTAATTCTATGCCGTAGTGACGATATACATGTGCGTGTACGGAAAAAACATGATGCATAAATATTGATTAGTACGAGGAGTAAACACATGCATATATTGCACTTTAGTGCTCTTCGAAACTCAGCTCCGCCCACTTGCGTTTTATAAAATAAAATGTCCAGTTTATATAAAATCTGTTCTATTAAGATTTGAAACCTGAAAATTTGAAAAATCCTCGTCGGTGATTGGCTTAAAAAAATTGGCGAGCACTAATGTCTAATACTGTGCATTATCCATTTAATTGTTCCTACTTTGCACCAAATGTCCCTGTCACAATGTATATTGACAGATTTTATTACTCCTTGTATGCCTCTGTGTAGAAAGCATACATCAAAGTCACTTGCCAACAGACTTTTTGATCATGAAAAAAGTCATGCACAATGTTTCCCTGATTGGTTAATCACCCTGTCAAATATTCTGATGACGAAATAGACATATTTTTTTACACTTCATCAGCCAAAGGTTGCATGAATTTGAGTGACCTTGGGGGAAATCAAGTTATACACAGTCCTGTCAGATTATACTGTAACTTACAGCTTTTCTAAAAATAGCAACACTTTTTTTTTCAGTTACCGATAATCATTTTAAACATTAAGTAGTTGTATAATTTTTTTGTTTGTTTTTTATTGGATTAAATTTACGGTTAAGTAGAAAGTGGGAAAGGGATTATGAGAAGAAATGAAGTAAGTAGATAAAGTGAACAAAAGCTTATAATAGGGGAATGGATAAACTGAAGAATATGCGTAATTACAGGGGAATCATGGGTAACGTATTGCTGTTGGTACCAGTTTTGACTGGATGACTAAATTACCCAGCGGACAGTTTTGTTTTCATATAAGTCTGGCACAGATTTTAGATGCGCCCTTGGCCCTTTGCTGCCGATTTTCCTGCGCCATTCTAATTTTTTTAGCGCCAATGGCGCAAAATCTCACAGGGCCAAAACACCATTTTTGGGGAAGGGGCCTCAGCCTTTTTCTTGGGGAAAATATGCGTGATTTTGGCATACTTTGGGAAAAGGGGTCTCAAATTTAACACAAACTTTTAACAAGTTCTTTAAAATAGAAAAGCAAAAAGCATTGGGAAATACAAATAAGGCAGTCAAAATCCTTAATTCAACACCATCATTTAATTTTGTTCTAAATTCTATGGGAAATTTCAGAAGACTGGGGAATTTTGAGGACCAAACTGGGGAAAAAAAAAGGCTAGTTTGGTTGGGGTAGTACTTAGTAGCCTATATTCGGCCTCTACAAAGAAGGGTTATTTTGGCCCTGGATTTGCTTATTTTTTATGCAGATCGCGTATTTTATTGAAGTCAGTGCATGCCAAGTCGCGCATCCGACGATCTTTTCAACTTAATTCAGTTTATCTTCATCGCATCTTGAACGCTTCAGCCATGTTTCACTTTGTTTTCACTTGTGGTTATGACTAAAATACGTTCTAAATCGTGTGTAGTCATCTCACGTGTGTTTTGTAGTATTTGTCAATATTTTATTTTTTTCTACTTCCGTTTTTTAGCGGACGAGGGGCCTGTCTAAAACGCGGACGCCTTAAGCGGACAATATAAACATATAGGGAAAACGCTGACAATATAGACAAAGAGGAAAAAAGCGGACGATATAGATATATAGTGTAGACTAATTGGTGATGATTTTGGGCATTGATGAAGTTTAGTAAAATGACGTGTAATTGGATTTATACTTTAATATATAAAAAAATATAATAAATTAGCAAATTGGGAGAAATATTAAAGTAATTTATGATTGAATGTCAATGAATTTTATTTTATAATTATATGACACATTTTCGGAATTTCTTAATATTGAAAACTAATATATGAAACAAATGGATCAAATGAATGTCCTTAGAATTACAATGAAGGTACTAAATTGGCAACAGCTGATATGTAATTAAGGATATGTATTTCATTTTGGCATTTTTTGTATGCCTTTATGTGCAGTAGGCGGACAAAATTTTTGTTCGCAAAATAAAAAAAGCCTTGATTTTTCAAAATCAAAAGTTTGTAAGAGTAATTTTTAATCATAAATTATTGATATAAATAAGTAATGACGGGCTGTTGTTTTTTATTGATACAATATGAGCAGAAGCGTGCCGCAGATTAACGGTAATTATATAAGTGTGAACAACACGCTACTGATTAATCGTGTCGGCACTTAGCTAGAGATAACATGATACGCATTTTGCGGACAATATAGATATATAGGGAAAACGCTGACGATATAGATATAGAGGAAAAAAGCGGACGGTATAGAAATTTAGAGTAGACGTATACTCTTGTGACGGACACGTGTTGCAAATTAACGACAATTAAGTGTCAACAACATGCTACCTGATTGAACATGTCCGCTCTTTGCCCTATTTTTGCGGACAATATAAACAAGTAGAGATTTTGATGCTAAAGCATCAAGTCGCCGGATAGAAATATGATTGTATTATCATAAATAAAAGAAAATATCAGTTTAATGGTTCGAGTATAAAGAAAATAGGAACAATAAGTTGAGTAATGTTTATTCATAAACACGTTTTCATGTACTTGCCACAATTATATCTTTCTTGCTATTAACTTTGTAAAAGAGTTTTATGCAATAAATTTATGTTATGTTATAATAAAACATCATATTTGAAGCAAACTTGCTTAGCAATTTTGTCAAGAAACTGTTATCATTATTAGATAAGCAAGTATTGTTTGGCAATATTTACCCGAGACTTTCGGGAGCTGTTTCGTTAGCTTACATAACTTATTATGATTAATGTTAACGATTTTATTGTAAGTATAATTACATGTATAATTATATCAATTAATACTTCTCGATGGCCTTGTGGTAAGTATGACGAAGTTGTTACATACGATATAGTTAACGTTTAATTGCCTTTCAGTGCGATAGACTATCAACACAAAGATAGTTTATTAGTTTTCTCTGCGTATCCAATACGATTCCGGCCCCTATTGTCATACCGAGATTTTTCATACAAAATTACTTTGATCAGCTGCCAACCATTCACAAGTTACCTGTATTTCAGTCTTATCAGCCATTTGTTACTATTAATAGATTTTATAACAGTAACATATAACGTGTAGTCACGTGATTCTGGGAGAAGCTGTTTATAATAAATAAGATAAAAAAATAGAATAGGTCTCATAACATACAAACAACCAGATAATTTAAAAGTGTCATTTCAAATATCATGCGTGATTTATTTATCATAAAATAGCAACGCTTGACACTTTGAAAAAAGGAAAAACATCCCTAAATTCAATGACTGATCCATA